CCCTCCCCCCCACGGCCATCTTTCTCAGTGATCCACAATACAAGGTGTTAGGAGCAGAGTTTCTCCCCTGAAAGTTCGGACTGGGGTGGGGGTCGCCCTTGCCCATCTCTGTGTCCATTGTGTCCCGACAGTGCGCAGACCCAGAGCCCAGCCTCCGCATCCCTTTCTAGTGCAGAGAAGGCAGCTCCCCACAGCCTCTCAGGGTGCCAGGCCCAGGGACGCAGCTCCTGCGGCTCCCCTGGCCTCTGACCTGCCCGCCCTGCTCCCCAGGGCCCCGCCTCCCACCAAGAAAAAGGTGGACCTGGAGCAGGTGTGGCAGCTTCTGACGACGGCCGACCGCAAGGACTACGAGCGGATCTGCCTGAAGTACGGCATCGTGGACTACCGGGGCATGCTGCGCAAGCTCAAGGAGCTGCGGAAGGAGCACGAGGACAAGATGGCGCAGGTACCCTCGACGGGGCCCGCGGCCCGGTGCCTCGTGGGCGCCCCCACCTGGAGCTGGGCCTGGCGCAGGGCCGGCCCTCACCCAGCTCCCAGGGCCACGTGTGGTCAAGGATCGGGGCCTCCAGTCAACGTTTTGGCTTTGAAATCTGGTTCAGATACTAAAATCTGGGGCATTGGGCAAGTTAGGGCCTCCGTGTCTTGGTTTCCTTACCTGTAAAATGGGTGTTATAGTTGTACCTGCTTCTTAGGGTTAGGGAGAGGATGAACTAGAGAATGTACTTAAAGCACTTAGCCGAGTGCCTGACGCCTGGCAAGGGCTTCCTGTCCGCTGTCATCCTCCCCAGACCTTGGATACCTGTCTTATTTCTAAAGGCTTCCTGCGGAGGGGATTTCACCGTTGCCTGCTTATCCCAGTGTCTTATAAACTGTATAGGCAGTTCTTTCCTGGGTCTAACATAACTATAGCACTAGTCTAATTTGTCTTCTGGAAATGCAAAACAACTAGTTTTCACCATCCTGAAAATAGTATTTTATCACCTTGAAGGTGGTTCATCAAACATCCTGGGACTCAGTTTTCTGTCCTCCAAGCCTTCTCATTGACCTTAACACAGGGCTTTGCCCACAGTAGGTGCTCAACTGCTTTTTATTGGCCAGAATAGCAGATGAACAGAAATGTCCTACCATGTTCTCAGAGCACCTGGATGGACACCTGGGGTCCTTTCTCACTTTGCTTCCTGACCTGATGTCTCATCTTGGAAAATTTCTTCCCACCTGTAAAATGGGCAAATGCATGCTCGAGTGGGACATGGTGGGGGGTGGGACTGGGGTCCGAGGGTTCAGAGTGCCCCGAAGAGAGAGCTCAGAGAGATCCCCTGGTGCGTTTGTCTTCCCTAGTACGTTAACGCCGTCTCCAACTTGAGACACATCAGGGTCAGCAAGGAGGGGGTCGCAACATTTGATCTGGAGCTGGATCTCAAGTATTCCGGGAGCAAGATTCACCTGTATAAGGTGAGGCTGGAGGAGTCATTGAGGAGGGAGGCATCTGGCAGGGATGCTGCAGGTCCTGGGGGGAGGAACTATGGGTCCCATGGATTCCCCTCTGGGAGCAACTCAAGCACACAGATGGTGAGTCCTGAATCCCCTGGAGTTCCTGATTGGAGGGAGGTGAAACTTTGGTGTAGACATTTCATAAACTCTTCTTACCTCTCACTGAGCAACGAGGTTCTCTAGCCAGGACACCGGGGGTAAAAAGAGGATTCTGAGAAAGTGTACCCCCGCCCCCCTGCATCTGTTTCGTTGCTCTAGCTGGTCCTGCTGCCTGCCATGGTCTTCCCCGGTATCCACACGGCTAATTCCCTCACCCGCAGCCAGATGTCCCCTGACCACCCTCTGGGTGCTGTGTCCCCCCAGCCCCGTCCTGCATCCCTGAATCCATATTTTCCTCTCCCTTTTCTTTTTTTCCCTAATTCTATCTCTTTCTAATACACATTATATTATCTGCTTATGATATGTGTTATTTGTCTGTGTCCCTCCTAGAATTTTAGCTCCCTGGGGGGCAGGAATCTTTGTTTTATTCACTGATGTGCCCCAAGTACCCAACCCAGTGCCTGGCACACAGTAGGCAACTGAAGACGAGCTGTTGTTAATATCTGTCAAGTGGCAAATCTATCTAGGCTTTAGCTAAAGGGGGCGTGTGTATGGATCACTGGGTTTTCTAGAACCCCTAAAGATACCTGATAGTTCTTTCTTGTGGTCCTCCGAGAATGAATGTACTGGGGCCCCTAGGGCCCTCGGTGTTGCCTCCCTGCCCCCTGGTAAACCCCTGGGGCTGCTTGGGTGGTTACTCAATCTGAGCCGAGGTCTCCCACTCTCAGGTGCCTCTTGTGTGACACTTGCAGATTATTTACTCCATAGTCAGAGTCAGCGACCCTCCTAGGGCAGTATTCCTTCACCTCACACTCCCCATTCTCAAGGCCTCTGAGCCCTGCTCTCCACCCCTGCCCCTGCCCCCCTCCTCATCTCCTCTGTGGTTCCAGCAATGTTGTCTGGTGCCTCGGCCGGTGGCAGAAAACTGCCAGAGTGGGGTTGAGGCAGGAGGTGCTGGGGCCCCACTGAAGCCCTGAACCTCCCTCTTCCTTTCTTGGCCTCAGGATGGTGAGATGACCCCCTACAGCTTTGATAACCAGACCAAGCACTGTCTGTGGCGGCTGGGGAAACGCTACCAATTCCAGATCCGGGACCTGCAGCCTGAGGATGCCGGCATTTACCAGGTCAAGGTGGAGGATGCCGAAATCTTCTCCACGGAACTGGATGCTAGTGGTGGGTGGTCTTCCCCTGCAGAAGCTGGAGTGGAGATCTGTTAGGAGGGGGGCCCATGTGCCATGGCACAGGGAGGGGGTGGGGAAGATAAATGTGATATGCCTCCCCCCCCGCCTTGCAAAGACTGTGAGGGAGAAGAATGCACACCCAGGTGGTTAAATTGAAATGATCTCTGCTTTCCAAAAGTCTTGGTCCCAGGTCTGTGTTCTCTTGATGCTGAGCTGGGCTCTCCTGAGTTCCAGCCACAGACATACAATGTCCATGCCATGCCCCTGCTCACAGACCGTCTGCAGCAGAGATTCTATCTCCAGGTTAGATCCAGACTAATTTCACAGGCTCTAGCCACAGCCTCACTGCTTTCTGCTGCAGACTCTCACCTCCCACACTCCCCAGCACAAGATCCACCCAGGTGCGGAACCCTTGTGCCCTGTACAGACCTCTTCCTTCCCTGCCTCCCGTGCCCCCACCCCACCTGGGAACTGTCCCTTCCTCTTTCATCAAACTCTGTCCCATCCCCTCGAGTAGCTGTGTATACATCATCACCCACCCCCCACACCTGGCCTCCTGGGAGGAGGAGAGGCCTGGAGAAGAAAGCTTTGGGCAGACAGAACATAAAGAACATGATTCTAAATCAAGGTTGAGGAAGAAAGAGGGCATGAGGCCTCCAGGTATGCCTGGACAGGGCTTTGAAAAGCCGAGAAATGGCGTGGCATGAGGGAAGGAGCAGGGCCTTTGACGTCAGCCAGACCTGGGTGTGAATCCTGCCCGGGCTGCCTCTTAGTTGGGTAAGACTGGGTTTCCTTACTTGTAAGAAGGAAATAATAATACCTATCTGGGAGGTGGTCCTAGGATTCATAAGAGATCATGTATGAAGCTCTGGCAGTCAGCATATCGGTTTCTTCATGTACCCACCTTACCCCCAGACATAATCTCTGGATTTACGATTACAGAATTCCAGAGCTGAAAACAGTCTTACTGTTCATAACCTCATTATAAGCCCTCATTTTATGTTGGGAACTGTCACCTGGGGTAAGGAAGTGACCTGCCCCAGGTGACACAGGGGGTCTGTGGCTGAGCTGGTCTGAACTTGGGCTTCCGAGCTCCCGGCTTCGCTGTGTCAGGTCACGCTGGGTCAAGCTGCCAAGCTGACGCCCCCATTCCTGCTTCCCTGACAGCCATCCCCTCCAGAGTGGTGGTCCCGCTGGCTGAGGCGCACTGTGAAGAGCAGGGTGATGCTGTCTTCGAGTGCATTCTCTCCAGCCCCTGCCCCAACGCCACCTGGAATTTCCGGCACCGGCCACTCCAGCCCAGAAACAAATATGAAATGTTTGTGTCCCCTGATGGGCTGACCCACAGGCTGGTGGTAAGGGGGGCCCATTTCTCAGACATGGGCCCCTACTCACTGGGCACTGGGTTCCACAGTTCTACTGCCTGGCTGGTGGTTGAAGGTGAGTGGTTCTTACCTCTGTCGTTCCCTGGCTGAGAAGGGCATGAAAAAGGCCAGGGCCAGGGGCTTCCCTTGGTCAGTCATTCGCTCTTGATGATTCCTTCACTGTCCGGAAATGAGGAAGGCTCCTGAGATCTATTCCTGACCCACCTCAGTGCTGGCCCTCGCAGCCAGCCTGGTCCTCCTCAGCTGTGTGTGCTCCATGGGCCTCTGGAATGCCTCTGGGAGCAGAGATCCAAGATGGCCCGAGGCTCCTGGCCAGGCCTTGGCTGAGATTCACTATGGATGAGAATCTGGGTCAGGCCAAAGAACACCCTTAAATTCCCCTATGGATTTAGGTTCAAGGTGATCCCAGGAAACTGTAAAGTGGACATTTGTAAGGCAGATGGTGAGCAAATAGAGCTTTTAAAAATCATGCAACTGTTCATGGCAGTTTGATAAGCAGATGAGTTTTAGGTTATGTATTTTCTCCAAAAGTCCTCATGAACCACATAGCAGGGCAGGGTGTCTGTGGGTACAGGGCTGGGGGAGGTGGTGATAGGATTCATCTATCAAAGAGCTGGCACACCCTGGCTTCCTTCTGAGATGGTCAGCTTTTTCTCTATTAGGGAAACTGAGGGTCAGGCAAAGCAGTTAGGGTCAGACAGGTGACTTGACGTGATTTAACAGGTCTTTTCTTTTGTCTCTCTATGGGGGCATTGACCTCTTATCAAAGCAGGGAAGGATGGAAACTTTCTGACTGCAAGTGCTGACCATCAGCTGCAAGCCCAAGGAGCCCAGACCTCAGAAGCAGAAGATTCCAGGAGCATCAGCAGCAAGGGAGGGGAACCCAGAGAGCAGGGCCTGCTGGAGGGCTCCCTTAATGGGGCCAGGCCTGCTTCTGGGCTACAGTTCACAGCTGGCCTAGAGACAGGTGGCCTTGATGGGCATGGCTACTCCCTGATAGGGAGTGATGGGGCAGCTGGCTCAGCCTGGGGCCCTGGGCAGGCAGGAAAGGGCTTTCTGGAAGCAGAGGGAAGCACAGTCACTCCCTTTGGGGGAAATCAGCTCCACAGAGAGGGAGGCTGGGGCATAAGCCTTCCAGGGAGCCCCTATGTACAGGGAGAGGGCCTAGAGTCAGGTTTAGGTCTCATGGAAGGTCAACAGCAAGATCATGGCAGAGACAGTGATGGGGACAGATGCGGTAGGACAGCAGGAGGTTGGGAGGCTGAGTCCAGGTACCCTCAAGTGGGAGGACTGGGGAGCAGCGGGGAAGGAGAGGAGTACAGAGAGGACCGTGGGAGTCCCCTGGACAGGCATAGTCAGAAACAACTCTTCAGTGCTCATTTGGGACCTGGGAGAGGACAAACAGCCCTGAGAGGATCCCAGTCTAGTCCTGAGGGCTCTTGGTCAGAAGGGGGAGTGATGGAGAAGATTTTGCAGGGGGAAAGCCTGGGTGAGGTGGAAGGAGGGGGTGATCTGAGCAGGAAAAGACAGAGAGGAGCCACAGGGGCAGTGTGGAGCAGGGGGACCGGTGTGGGGGAAGCTGGAGACAGCAGTGGGACAGGTAGTCTTGGGGCCCAGGAATATCCTGGAGAAAGAGCTTCTAGCTCTCAGGGTGGCAGAGATGCTGATAATGAGGAAGCAGGGGGCTGCTGGGGGCCAGAGGAGTCTCAAGGGCAGATATCTATAGGAAAGAACTCCCAGGAACCATCAATACCTGGTAGTAGAGAGTTCCTTCTGGGACAAGGGGGGCCTGAAGCCAAAGCTGAAGGGTCACTACAGACAGCTGATCGAGGCCCAGGGAAGTCTGTGGGTGGGGGAAAGCACTACAAAACCAGCCCTGCAGGCCCAGGAGGTCCCAGAGGCTGGGAGAGGAGCCTGCAGGGGCCCAGAGGAAGGGAGGGCCAGGAGACAGCAGAAGACTTGGGTGAGGCAGGGGATGGCTCCAGAAGCTTCCAGTATTCCCAAGGCTGGCCAGCAGGTCAGTGGGGAGCAGAGGTTGCTGGCAGAATAGAGTCTGGGAGCACAGGTCCTTGGGATGACACAGGGTCCAGCCTCAGCAAAACCAGGGCCTACCACAGGCCTGGAATGTTGGGGTCTGGTGAAGGGGAAGGTGGTGTGGGTGGTACCCAGGGGGCTGGACTAATGGGGTCTGGTCAGGGGGTGGATACCAGAAGCCACAGGCTATTTGGGTCTCTAAGCCTGGGTGCTCAGGGTTCTGGGGAGACACTAGGAGACACTGATGGATTAAGAGGTCCAGGGGCAATGGGTTCTGAACCAGATTTCTGGAATGGGTCATGGAACTCCAGAGGAAAAGGACTCAGAAGTGAGACAGGCTACGAGGATGGCTTAGGAGGTCCAGGGAGAATGGAGTCTAGGTACGGCAATGGCGCAGGGTATGCTAGAGGAATAGGTCCTGAAAACGGGTCTGGCTATAGTGATGGCTCGGCAGTGTCAGGAGAAATGGGCTCTGGTTATGGCCCTGGTTGTGATGTTGTCTCTGGGGCACCTGGGGGAACAGAGTCTGAGGAAGGGGGTGGTCATAGGCATGGCTCAGGGGTGCCTGGGGGAATGTGGTCTGGAAATAACGATAGTTACGGTCCTGCAATAAGGGGGTCTGAGAGACTTGCTGATCTCAAGAGTGGCTCAGGTGGCCCTGATAGAGGGCCCATGGATGAAGCCAGGATGCCTCCAGAGGCCAGGGATGCATCCAAAAGCCAGGGGGATACTGGCCCTGGGGGAAGGCATCATTCCAGTGCTGGCCTAGGGAGTCCTGGGACAGTGGAGTCTGTGGGTAGAGGTGGCCTTGGGGCCTCTGCAACCATGGAGGCTGATGAGGAGGGACATGTAGAATCAGAACCAGGGGTCTCTGGAAGAATAAGTCCTTGGGGCCAGACTGGAGACTATGGGGACTTCAGAGCCTCAGGGGCTCTGGGGGCCTTTGGAGAAGGAGGCCATGAAGATGGCTCTGGGGAAGCAGGAGCCATGGAGCCAAGGTATCTGAAGGCAGGAGGCAAAGTGAATGATGGGGTTGGGACCAGGGACCTTGGTGCTAGGGCCTCTGGAGCTAGAGCTGGTCATTGGGACGATACCAGGTTCCCCGAGGCACTGGCTCCTCATGCTGGGGCCAGTTCTGAAAGCCAAGAGACTTATGGGTCTTGTGGCATGCCTATTCTTGGGGGTGGATCAGGAATTCGAGGGTCTCAGCAAATTGGAAGGAAAACAGCTTATAAAGGAAGGTCAAAGGGTCTTGGGTCTGGGGGGATGGGGCCAGGGGGTGAGGCAGGTTATAAGGATAGTATTGAGGTTTCTGGGGAAATGGGGTCAGTAGATGAGGCAGACTATAGGAAAGATTTGGGAACTCCTGAGGGAATGGGTTCATTGGGTAAGGCAGATCATAGGGATGATTTAGGGGGTTCTGGGAGAACTGGGTCAGGGGGTGAAGCAGGTTATGGAGATGGTTTGGGGGGTTCTGGGAGAATGGGGTCAGGGCATGGGGTGGGTTATAGGGATGGCTTAGGAGGTTCTGGGAGAATTAGGTCAGGTGGTGAAGTAGGTTATAAAGATGGTTTGGGGGTGTTCTGGGAGGATAGGGGTGGGGGGTGAGGCAGGTTATGGGGATGACTTGGGAGGCTCTGGGAAAATGGGGTCAGGGGGTGAGGTAGGTTATAAGGATGGTTTGGGGGGTTCTGGGAGAATTGGGTCAAGGAGTGAGGCAGGTTATAAGGATGGTTTGGGGGGTTCTGGAAGAATGGGGATGGGGGGTGAGAGAGGTTATGGGAATGACTTGGGGGATTCTGGTAGAATTGGGTCAAGGGGTGAGGCAGGTTATGAGGATGGCCTGGGGCATTCTGGGAGAATGGAATCAGAGGGTGAGGCAGGTTATGGGGATGGCTTGGGAGGTTCTGGGAAAATGGGGACAGGGGGTGAGGCAGGTTATGGGGATGGCTTGGGAGGTTCTGGGAAAATGGGGTCAGGGCATGGGGCAGTTTATAGGGATGGCTTAGGAGGTCCTGGGAGAATTGGGTCAGGGGGTGAGGCAGGTTATAAGGATGGTTTGGGGGGTTCTGGGAGAATGGGGATGGGGGGTGAGGCAGGTTATGGGGATGGCTTGGGAAGTTCTGGGAGAATGGGGAGTGAGGCAGGTTATGGGGATGGCTTGGGAGGTTCCAGGAAAATGGGGTCAGGGGGTGGGCCAGGTTATAGGGATGGCTTAGGAGGTCCTGGGAGAATTGGGTCAGGTGGTGAAGTAGGTTATAAAGATGGTTTGGGGGGTTCTGGGAGAATGGGGATAGGGAGTGAGGCAGGTTATGGGGATGGCTTGGTAGATTCTGGGAGAATTGGATCAAGGGGTGAGGCAAGTTATAAGGATGGTTTGGGGGGTTCTGGGAGAATGGGAATGGGGGGTGAGGCAGGTTATGGGGATGGCTTGGGGGATTCTGGGAGAACTGGGTCAAAGTGTGAGAAAGGTTATGGGGATGGCTTGGGGGATTCTGGGAGAATTGGGTCAAGGGATGAGGCAGGTTATAAGAATGGTTTGGGGGATGCTGGGAGAATTGGGTCAAGGGGTGAAGCAGATTATGGGGATGGCTTTGGGGATTCTGGGAGAATTGGGTCAAAGGGTGAGGCAGTTTGTAAGGATGCTTTGGGGGGTTCTGGGAAAATGGGGGTGGGGGGTGAGGCAGGTTATGGGGATGGCTTGGGAGGTTCTGGGCAAGTGGGGTCAGGGGGTGGGGCAGGTTATAGGGATGGCTTAGGAGGTCCTGGGAGAATTGGGTCAAGGGGTGACACAGGTTATAAGGATGGTTTGGGGGGTTCCAAGAGAAATGGTAGCAGATGGTGAAGCAGGTTATGGGGATGGCTTGGGGGGTTCTGGGAGAATTGGGTCAAAGGGTGACTCATGTTATGGGGATGGTTTAGGGGGTTCTGGGAGAATGGGGATGGGGGGTGAAACTCGTTATGGGGATGGCTTGGGGGAATCTGGGAGAATGGGGGTGGGGGGTGTGGCAGGTCATAAGGATGGCTTAGGGGGTTCTGGGAGAATGGGGATGGGGAGTGAGGCAGGTTATGGGGATGGCTTGGGGGGTTCTGGGAGAATTGGGTCAGGTGGTGAAGCAGGTTATAAGGATGGTTTGGGGGGTTCCGAGAGAATGGTAGCAGATGGTGAAGCAGGTTATGGGGATGGCTTGGGGGGTTCTGGGAGAATTGGATCAGGTGGTGAAGCAGGTTATAAGGATGGTTTGGGGGGTTCTGAGAGAATGGGAGCAGGAGGTGAAGCACGTTATGGGGATGGCTTGGAGGGTTCTGGGAGAATGGGGATGGTGGGTGAGAGAGGTTATGAAGATGGTTTGGGGGGTTCTGGGAGAATTGGATCAGGGGGTGAAGCAGGTTATGGGGTTGGCTTTGGGGGTTCTGGGAGAATGGGGGTGGGGAGTGAGGCAGGTTATGGGGATGGCTTGGGGGAGTCTGAGAGAATGGGGGCAGGGGGTGAAGCAGGTTATGGGGATGGCTTTGGGGGTTCTGGGAGAATGTGGGTGGGGAGTGAGGCAGGTTATGGGGATGGCTTGGGGGAGTCTGAGAGAATTGGGTCAAAGGGTGACACAGTTTATAAGGATGGTTTGGGAGGTTCTGGGAGAATTGGATCAGGGGGAGAGGCAGGTTATAAGGATGGTTTGGGGAGGCCTGGGAGAATTGGGTCAGGGGATGAAGCAGGCTATAGGGATGGTTTGGGGGGTACTAGGGGACTGAGGTCAGGAAGTGAGTCAGATTATAGGGGAGGCTCAGGAGGATCTGCAGAAATGGGGTCAGAAGGTGAGGTGGGCTACAGAGATGGTTCAGGGAAGTTCAGAGTAACAGACACACAGGCTGGAGTGGGATATGAAGGTGGACCCAGCAGCCAAGAAGCCGTAGAGCATGGGTCAAGATACTGGACGGCATCAGAGAGGTCTGATGGTAGCACAAGCTCCAAGGATGGTTCAGAGAGGGGCAGAGGAATGGGGTTTGTGAAAGGAGCATGTCCTGGAGTGGGTTTTAGGATGGCTGGAATGCCAGGCACTGCAGATGGCACAGCATGCAGGGACGGCCCCTGGGGCCCAGAGATGCAGGGGATTCAAGGTGAGCCACGGATTCTTTCAGACGGGCAAGGCTCCAAGAATGATCTCGGGGGCTCTGGAACCTCAGGGGTTCCTGAGGTGCTGGGAGCCTTTGGCTCTATGGGAAAATCAGGTGTCAGAGAGTGGCAAGATGCTGCTAGGAACCCAGGATCTCCTGGGGACAGAGAGGCTCCCAGTAGGGAGGGCAGGTCTGCAGACCAAGCAGGGGGTATGAGGGCTTCTGGGTTTCTTGATGGTCAGGGGGCAGTGGAGAGCGAGACCTGGGCAGGGGCAGCTGCTCTGGGATCTGGACATGAGCAGGACTTCTGGAAAGCAGGGCCAGGGACAGCAGATAGGGGTAGAGCAGCTGGCCTGGGAGGACTGGCACCTCAGGCAGGTGGGGACTCACCGCTGGGAGGCAGAAGGATGGGAGCAACATGCGGGCACTCGGTGGGCACAGGCCAGGTTCTGGACAACAGCCGGATGCCTGGGGAAAGGGGCGAATCAACGTCAGGTTCTGCTGATGGACAAGGGGTAAGCCACACTGGGGTCCCAGGCAGGGAAGACCAGGGGTTTGGCCAAGGAAGCATAGGTACTGGGAATCAGTCCCCAGGCTCCAGAGCTTCCAGATCTCTGCAAGATAAAGATGCCACTTTCAGGGGGACCCATGAAGGGCCAGAGGGCTCCAGGGGCAAGAGGGGTGCTCTAGGCCAAGGAGGGTCTGGTGGGTGTCAAGATCCATGGCTCCTGGATAGCAAAGGTTCAGGTCCTGAAAGGGGCAAGTCTACCGGCTCAGGGGACTCAGGCATCTTGGATAAGGGGAATTCCACTGATAGGGAGAATGGCCTCACCCAAAACCCTGGGGATTTAGGGCCTCAGGGAGCCTGGAATGGTCTAGATGGTCCATTGGTCAGAAAAGACTCTATGGACAGATCTGGGGGCATCCAGGGCCTGGGCTTTCAGCTAGACAAAGGACAAAGAGGAGAAAGAGGGTCCCTGGGGTATCAGGGGTCCCTGGGGGCTGAGAATGACAAAGCCCAAGGTCCAGGGGCCCTAAAGGAGTATGCGGGATGGGGAGCAGAAGAGTCTGGAGGGTCAGACAGAAGGCCTGGCCAGCTCAGGAGCAGGTCTCAAAGACAGTCAGGGGTGGAGCCTGGAACAGCAAAGAGAAGGGGAGCAGATGAGGCCAGAGGCTCAGGGCAGCCACTGGGAGGAGAGGACAAAGAGAGCCGAGGGGTGACTCGGCATGAAGACCAGAGCTGGGAGCCCCCGAGTCACCTTGGCAGCTGGAGAGGTGGCCTGGAGGGCAGGTCAGACATCTACGGCCAGGGGAGGGATGCCACCCAGAGTCCCAGATCCAGATACAAGCCTGCACTGGCGGTTTCTCCAAGGAAGCCCAAGGTAGGTCTTTCTCAGGGAAATGGCTCCGGTGGGGTAGAGCCAAGGGGAACGGGGATGACTGGGTCGGTCTCAATTCTGCCTCCAGCCCCAGGAGTTTGTCCCTGCCAGTGCCCCCCCATTTTCAGGGATCTCTTCCCATCTAGGAATCAACCTCTTCCTCCTTGTGGAGGTGGGCTCCAGGCCACATGGGGCTCAGAGGTCTCTGGTCTCTGTCTTAACACCCTATGTCCAAAGAACTGGAGCTGTTGAAATCTCTCTGTGGGTTACTCAGACTTCCCGTCTTTGTCACTCAAGGGGGGCCCTTCATCCACCTTGTACCCCAGGTCCCCTATACCAGCCTAGCAAAACCAGTTTAGTTTTGCTGGCACGGCCTCAGCCCAGTTGGCGGGACATGGTGGCCTCCCAGAGCTCAGTGTACTGAGTCACTGGGCTGGTCCAGGCACTCCTAACTTGCTGGCACCGCTCAAGGCTGGGGGCCACGGTCTGGGAGGCTGGACCTTGGGGGAAATCCCTGGATGACCAGCCCCCAGACTCCTCTGTGTCTCTCCAGGCCCCCAGGGCCACTTCTCCCAGGGCCTGGCTGACACGGAAGTGCAGCAGGGAGAGGATGCCATGCTCTCCTGTACCCTCACCCACGACCTGGGCCCGGGTGCCTGGTTTAAAGATGGAGTCAAGGTACTGCCCCCCGTGCTTTACCGACCAGTTTATGGGTGGGGGGAGGGGTGTGGATGGGGGGGTGAAGCAATGAAGAGTAGAAGGTAGGGGCTTTGCAAGAAAGATTTTTCATTCTTTTTTTAAGATTTTATTTATTTGAGAGAGAGCACAAGCGGGGGGGGGGAGGGGGGGAGGGAGAAGCAGACTCCCTACTGAGCCGGGAGCCCGATGTCATGTTCGATCCCAGGACCCTGGGATCATGACCTGAGCCAAAGGCAGTCGCTTAACCAACTGAGCCACCCAGGCGCCCCAAGATTTTTCATTCTTCATTTTACTAAAGCACCTACCCTGGGAGAAGTCTAAATAACCGGCATGTTGGTATTTTTAAATAAAACTGGGTTTTTAGGTGGGTGTGTATCCTCTTTGCTCCCCACCCCCCGGACATACCCCTTCCTCTCCCAAATGCCTCTTCCTCATCCAAAATGCCTGTCCTGTCCCAGCGCCTGTTGAATTCTGCTGTCCTTCAAGGCGTGGTACAAACGCCCCCTCAGCCCAACCAGACGGGACCTCTCCTCTCTCTGAACAGCCCTTCTGTCCTCCACCACGGCTGTCCTCCCAGGAGAATGGATGTCACAGGGGTTCAGAGCACGGGCCTTGGCGTCAGCTAGCCCGGCTTCAGATCCCAGCTCTGCCCCTTACCTCTGGTTGCACCTATAAAATGGGACCAGTAACAGTACTGACTTCATAAGGTCGTTGCAACATTAAATGAGGTCCTGAGTATGGAGAGCACTAGCACACGCCTGGGGCGTCCTGGGGCGTCACAAGCATTCCATTGACCCTGCTCTTATGACAGTCCCTACATTGCATTAGTAAGGGGCCCTGCTTCCCCCCACCCCTGCCCCCCCACCACCTGGAGGAGCTGAGCAGGGGTGGGGATGACAGGGCTCCTCCGTGGCCCTTGTTTGCAGCTCAGCACCCAGGATGGAGTCATCTTTGAGCAAGACGGTCTCGTGCACAGTCTCCTCATTGCCCGTGTGCAAGGGACCCAGGCTGGGAGGTACACCTTTGTAGCCAGCAACCAGCGGAGCGAGGCCACCCTGAGTGTCCACGGTGAGGGTCAGCCCGCCCTTCCCTGCTCGGCAGGCTCTCTGCAGCAGGTGCTATGCTCCACCTCTAAACCCCTGACTGCGTGGCTAGTCTGCCGCCAGGGCCTAATCTCATCCTCAGTCTGAGAACCACATCCTCCCTGTTCTTTGTCAGGAAGTCCTTGGGGAGGTCTAGCCCTGGTCCCTCCTGCTGCAGATGAAGCGCATTCATCCCCTTGGTAGTTCTCCTGGGGGGTGGTCTTTACTCTCAGCCTACACTTCCCACTCCGGGTCCTCCTTTCCCCACTGCCCCGGTGCACAGTGCCCTGGCTGCCTTTGACTCCCTGGCCCTGTTATATCTCTAGATCGCCCCGTCATCGCTCCTGATGTCACAGAGAAACTGAGAGAGCCGCTGGTGGTCAAGGCTGGGAAGCCGGTGACAGTGAAGATCCCCTTCCAGAGCCACCTCCCAGTTCAGGCTGCCTGGAAAAAGGACGGAGCCGAAGTGGTGGGCGGCAGCAGCCCCCGGGGGGCACAGGTGGCCCTGGGGGACGGCTTCACTCGGCTGTGCCTCCCTAGCGCTGGCAGGAAGGATGGTGGCCGGGACAGCGTGACACTGAGGAGCGAGGGCGGCTCTGTGCAGGCTGAGCTCACCCTGCAAGTTATAGGTGCCAGTCCCAGCTTCTCCCCAGCCAAGGCCCAAGGGTCCCGGGGTTCTGGGAACTCCCTGCACGCAGGAGCAGGCCCAGAGTGTGCCGCCCTGCTCCGATCCTCATTTGCATGCTGTTTAAGATCCAAACCTACTCCACCTTGTTCTTGCTCCCCTCCTCCGACTGGTTAGGAAGCAGCAGTTTAGATAAAGACAGGGCTGGGCTCCCGCTGGTGGTGCTTCTCTGGGAGCTAAGGCACTGGGCCCGGGGGAGGGGGGCATTTCTGGGACGAGATGGTGGCCCCCAGCCTTGAGCGGTGCCAGCAAGTTAGGAGTGCCTGTACCAGCCACAGTGGCGCATTCCGGGTCACCTCTGTGGGGCGTATGTGTGTGTTGGGGGGTGGAGACCAGGGACACTTCCAGGTAATGTCCAAGGCTCTCTGGATATTCTACCCCATGGCAGGCTTATCCGCTGATGAGGGGGGAGGCCTAGCACCACTCCCCTCCAGCTCCTTTGACCCCCTCTTCTCTTCCTGCTCCTCTCGGTGGGACCCAAACAAGCCCCAGCCCCCACAAGGTCCCCTGGAGGTACAGGATCGCCAGGGGGCTGGGGTCTGCCTCCACTGGCGGCCCCCAAAGGACAGCGGGGGCCGGGCCGTGGAGCACTACGTGGTGGAGCGGCGGCAAGCTGGCCAGAGCACTTGGCTGAAGGTGGGCGAGCCCCCCGCAGACAGCACGGCCTTCACCGACGCCCACGTGGAGCAGGGCAGGAAATACACCTTCCGAGTGCGGGCTGTGACCTCTGAGGGGGCTGGGGAGGCCCTGGAGTCCACAGAGGTGCTGGTGGCTCCTGAGGGTAAGAGGATGGACTGGGCCCTAGCATTCTGGGCTCTCCACCGTGCCCAGGGGGCGGGCGGGGCTGCCCCAGGCACTGAGGGACGTGGCAGGGGGCGGGGGTGTCTTGGGGCCCTTGTAGAGCACTGTGGAGACTCCTTACATCAGCTTCATTTGGGATTTGGCAGGCGATCAGGAAACAAGGTTTGTGGGGTCTTCTCTCAGCGGTGGCTCTCTGGGAGTAGGGGTAGACAAGCAGAGCCCACTTTCTCAGGAAGCTGGGTGGGGCAGGCACCATCCTCCATGAGATGCCCTCCCTCTGGAGCATCTATCAGGGGACTTAAGGCTGAGGGGCCTCAGGGCTGCCTCTAGGCTCCTAGGCCGGAGCCAGAACAGTGTCCTAGGGCAGGCTGGCTCAGCCCCCCTGACATTCCCTAGGAAAGAATAGAGTGTGACCCACTCCCAGATGCCCCACTCCCCATCCCCTAGGACCTTGCTGTGAGCTGGCATCTTTCCTCGGCCTCTGGCTGACCTGCACCTTCTCTGCCCCCCAGCTCTCCCTGGGCCCCCTTCAAGCCCAGCCATCCAGTCAGCCTCCAGCCAGGGCATCACGCTGATGTGGATGGCACCTCGGGGCCCTGGCAGTGCCCACATCCTGGGCTACCTGATCGAGAAGCGCAAGAAGGGGAGCAACACCTGGACAGCAGTGAATGCCCAGCCTGTGCCTGGTGAGTGCGCCTGAATGGATGCTTCACATTATCCTGGCCTCCAAAGCTTCCCTAGAGGACCTCCTGGCTCCAGGGTCCTGTGGCACCATCTTTCCAGGTCCCTTTAGGACAGTGGGTCTCACGTGGGGCAGTTTCACCCCCTGGGGACATTTGGCAATTGTCTGGCAATTTTGGGTTGTCATAACTGAAGTGCAGGAAGGTGGGGAGTAGCATCTAGTGTGAAAAAGCTGCTAAACATCCTGGAATTCACAGGGCCATGTCCCCAAACAAAGAATGATCTGGCCATAAATGCCAGTAGGGCCAAGGTTAGGAAACCCTGGCTTAACAGAAGTCTCGGGATGGAAGCCAGAGATGGAGCAGTTAGCCCTGACCCCTCTCCTTCTGGCCTTGACTTCAGGCAGTGCATTCTTTTCTCTGGATCTTACCTTTCTCATCCATGAGATGAGGAGACGTGTCCCCTATCCTACTAACTTCCCTACAATTTCCAGGAAACTGCTTTCCAAAATCAGAAAGAACTCAGAAACTCCAATCCAACATTTGCAGAAGAAAGAACAGGTTCCAAGTCCCGAGCGGGTTGTCAGGAGACCGGGTTCCTAGCCAGGGCTGTGCCACTTAGGACCTCAGGATCCTCATCTCTGGAAAGAGGGTGGTGAACTAAGGGCATTCTTCCAACTTCACTATCTAGTCATTCTGTTTTATTTATAAATCTATGTAAATTTATAGCAACTTTTAGAAGTCTTTAAGGCAGAGAGAACCAGAGAGATTAAGGCACTTGTCCAAGACCACCCAGCAAGTTAGTGGCAGATCCAGACAGGGACTGGGGCCTCTCACACCCTGAGCAGTGCTGTTTTTACCTTGGAGACACCCGAGTCACCCCGAGCTGGCTGGCTGGAGAGGAGGAATGTTTTAGGTCCCTAGGCTTGGTCTTTTCCAGAGCTTGGAGGCACCAGGCCATCTGTGTGCCCATTGCCTGGTCCTGTCACAGGGGGACAAACGTGGGGTGGGCTTTTCACAGAGAGGAGGTGGACCGTGGCGGATGTGCGGCAGGGCTGTCAGTATGAATTTCGGGTCACGGCTGTGTCTCCCTCTGGTCCCGGAGAGCCTGGGCCCCCATCGGATGCCGTCTTTGCTCGGGACCCCATGAGTAAGTAGAGCACCAACCCAGGTTGGGGGTGGCGGTGGTGATGAGTAGGGGATAGCTCTGGGGCCCGTGGGACAGGACAGGGGCTGTAGGAAGGTCAGGGCCAGCCCTGAAGAACATGGTCAGGAAGGCTGGGAGACAGAGGTCAAAGGGCCTCTGGGGTAAGGCATATTTTAGGGGCCCGGGGAATTGAGATCAAACAGGCCTAGACGTCAGGCAGTGGGGTCACTTTACTCACTCTTCAGCCTCTGGGTAGGTCAGTCCTCGAGCTGGCCCACCTGCTCCCATATTACAACCATCCACCCACCCCAGTGAGAGCTTGTCATTGCCGTGGGGCAGGTGGGAGGTCGCCGTGGAACCTCACCATTGACTATCCAGCAGATCTTTGCTGAGCATCTTCATCACAATGGCTAACATTGTGCCAGGAACTAGGTAAATAAATCCTGGCCTCTGCTTCTGGTGTAGAACAGCATTTTCCTCTCTGTGATTTCAGACATCCAGGCACAGAGAGATGTCAGTGGACGTGTTGAGAACAACACAAACAGCCAAAAAGATCTGTGATCAAAGATGTTTCTAACACCTAGCCTATGAGATTTCCAAGTCCTACAGGAAAGGGACCTGTCCTACTTTGAGCCAAATTTCCCAAATTTGGGTAGAGAATGCCTTTTCCACAAAACAGCCATCAAAAACCTCATTCCAAGGCATACGGCTTAGGAAATGCTGCTCTGTATGCCCCTCCTGAGCCTCTTATCTCACGAGCCCTTATGAGCCTGCTGGTGACAAGCCACCAAGGGGGCAGCACGTTTCTGGCACTTGCTGGACTGGCCATGTGGTCACCTTGAGAGCACCTTTGTGTCCCTACAGGGCCTGGTGCAGTGTACGGGTCTGGGCTGTTGGACTGAATCTAGCAAAAACAGAACATCGCACAAGTTTAATGGATCGAGTGGCACCTAAGGGTTAGTCCTAGAAAGGGCAGAGTGTGCAACGGGGAGGGGAAAGGTGACACATGCATTTTATTCCTTGCAAGTGGACCAACCCCATCCTAGTTTATCAACCTCTCTCTCTCTCTCATCACTGGTAGAGAGTGGAGACAGCAAGTAGCATAAAGGGTGTCCTACGATAGCCACCCCAGTCATGACCGTTCCTAGGCCCTCGCTACTGAGCATGATCCTCAGACTGGCAGCATTACCTGGGGGCTTGTTAGGAATGCAGAATCTCAGGCCTCACCCAGGCCCTTCTGTATTAGGATCTGAAGTCTTAACCAAATCCCCCGGTGGTTTATAAACAAATTAAAGTTTGAGAAACACTATCCTAGCCCCGATTTAGAAACACCTGGGCAGCTCTTAAGACTCGTGCTGCCTGGGCTGCACCCCAGACTAATGAAATCCACATCTCTGGGGATGGGATCTAGGAACCAGTGTCTTTAAGGCTCCGCACAAGATTCCACTGTGCAACCAGCTTTGGGAGACTGCTCTGCAATGTACAAAGCCCTTCACACACATCACACCTTTGCTCCAAAACCCTTACGGGTGGGTAGGGCCTGTGTTATTTTCCTTCCCACTTAACAGGAGAAGAGTAAGTATGGACTGAGTGCCCAAAAGGCAGTCTTGACTAACTTAGAGCTCAGAATCAAAAGATATAGAATTCTAGTCTTCGGGCATTTGAAGCCCAGGAAGTCACCAACTAAGACGCCAGATTTCAGGAATTACAGCAGGGTAGTTTGGGAAAGTGGGTTGACAGGTGGGTGAAGAAATTCCCAGCTTCCCATAGGAAGACTAATGAATATCCACATGGAGTGGCCTCCCTCAAGAGAGGGTGATGCCATTCCTGACCTTCCCACAGTGCCTGGCCAGGACCCCCTGGGCCCGTGCGGGACCTCCAAGTCATAGACACGTCGCACACCAGCATCACCTTGAGCTGGGCGCAGCCGGATGCACAGGATGGGGACACAGCCCAGGGATATGTGGTGGAGCTGCGCGGCTCAGACAGTCTGCAGTGGAGTCCCTGCCACGAGGGCACCGTGCCAGTCACCAGCTTCACAGCCAAAGGGCTTCGGCCCCAAGAGAGCTACTTCGTGAGGGTGACAGCAGTTAACGATGGGGGCCTTGGCCAGCCCACCGCCCTGGACACGTTAGTGCAAGTCATGCCAGTTGCCGGTGAGTCCCATCGCCTTCCCCTTCCCGCAGGCCCTTCCTGAGAGGGACCTCTGAGCAGCAACCATGCACTTGCTGAGCCAGGATCCCCTTCCCCAGTTTAATAAAGTGTCCCTTATCAAGCACCCATTATGAGCCAGGCACTGGACTAGGCAGCCCCATTTGGAAATGTTTTCTCATTACGACTCATAGAAATCCTACAAGGTTAAGGTTTTCACCCCCAATTTACAGATAAAGAACCTGAGGTCAAAAGTGCTTTGCCCTGGGTCACACCACTGGTATGTGGCAGAGCCAGGAATTAAACCAGGTGACTCTAACTCCAGAGTCCAGGCTCTCTCCAGGATTCTTTGCTGCTTCCCAAGCATGACCTAAGAAGGTGTAAGTGCTGCTCGGCACACGTGGTTCGTGTGCAGAGTAGAAGACACCCAGCTCCCTGTTATCCAAAGGTGGATTGTCTTTTCCCTTGGTTATAATCGCTGGAAGCTTCTGACCTGGGCCATCCCAACAAGCCCTAGTTGTCACAGTAACAGTTAGGGAGACAAGTACAATGAACAGCACACTGCACCTGGAGTCCAGAATCCCGGAAACTTGTCCTGGCTCTGCCCCCAGCTGGATGTGGTCTCAAGCCTGTCACTTCCTGCCTCAGATCAGTGTTTACCTTGTCTGCAAAACAAGAGTCGGATGACTTTTTCCCTCTCCTCTGTTCTGGCCTAACCCTAACCCGCTCCCTGATGGCTTTCCTTTCTCAGCTCCTATTCCTTCCGGGCTAGCATCTCCCCACCAGCTCCTGCAGCTCCCTGCCCCTCCCCCAGGATTCTCCTCCCAGCTCCCTCTACATTTCCTTCAGAGCCCCTCCCCAACCCCCACCATGGATCTCTGCATCTACTAGTCTGGCCCAGGCATCCCCCTCCTGCTCTGCCTTGTTGGAGACCTGGGGCTGGGTCCCAAGAGTGGAGGGAGGTGACAAGCCATCTTGTGTGTTCCAGTCCGTCCCAAGTTCCTTATGGACTCCAGCACAAGGGACTCGCTGATGGTCAGAGCTGGGGACACCATTCGTGTGCCTGTCTCCTTTGAAGTGAGTATATCTAATAGGGAATGGGGAGGGGAGCCCAGAGTGGCCAAGGGAGCCAGACTCCACCCTGTGCTTCTCTTTCACCCCCCTCCTTTTTGGTCCCCAGGCAGTGGCCGGGGCTTGTGCTGGAAATCAGGCCAGAAGTGAGGAAGAGGGTCCTCCCTGAAGGCACGATCCTCACCTGGCCCCTGGGCCATTCTGCACTTGTCTGTAGGTCCCTCTAGTGGTAGCTCCTGTTACTGCACCTCTAAACTACCAGGCCCACTTTTCTCCACCTCCCTCCTTACTTCGTCTGGGAATGCAGTGCGGCTGCAGCATGGATAGTCCCTTTTGACTTTAGAATGACCCGAGTCTGAGTCTGAGTATTGTACAAGCACATGAACTGCGTTTGACTCAGGATGATCCCCCACCAACACCACCTGTCCTGTATAGATAGGATAGCCGTACAGTGTGGGGGCTAGAAGCACAGTTTGCGTGGGGTCAGATTCTAGCATCATTACTCACTAGCTGTTTGACCTCCGACAAATATTTTAACCTCTCTGTGTTCCAGCTTCCTCATCTGTCAAATGGGGACGATAGTAACTTATCTCCAAGGATTCTTCTGAGGATTCAAGGAATTAATACATTGAAAGCACGTAAGTAGTGCTGGCATATGGCAAGCACCCAGTTTGTGGTATCTATTACTAATTGTTGTTGTTGTTATTATGGTTAAAATCATCATCCTCATCATCATCTGTTTGGGAACTCATAGGTGGCCGAGCCTGATTCAAACCCAGATATAACTCGAAATTACATGTTCTTAATTATTAGACCATAATAAGGACAATGATGGTGACAAAAATTTTTAACACACACTGAGTGTTCCTCGGCCCTGTTCACTATGCTTTCCATGTAGTATTAACTCCTTCAGTCCTCAGAACAATCCTGTGAGGCAAGTTACGGTCAGCATCCCCATTTGACTCTGATGCCCAGTGTGACCAGTGCCAGAGGATCTCACCGGGAGCTGGGGGTTTGCCTTACTCCCCCTTTCCTGCTTCCTCGTTATCCCACACCCCCTCCCATACCTCCCTGGATCACCCCCTCTCAACCAGCCTCTCCCTAAGTAGGCACCTCCCCACTCTGTGCTTTTGCTCAGACATTTCTTCTCTGGGAATGCTCTTCTTCCCACTTACACCTTAGGACCAGCTTCAATGCCATCACTCCCACAAAACGTCCCCTCCTTATCTTTCTTTCCTCTCATTTCCCAGGCTGTCCCCATGCCTGAGGTGACCTGGCTGAAGGACGGCTTGCCCTTGCTTAAAAGTAATGTGACCTCCACCAAGGATGGCCTCACCCAGCTTCTGATTCCTGTGGCCAGCTTCTCAGACAGTGGCCTCTACACTGTGGTGCTGAGGAACCTGCAGGGCGGGGAGGCTGCCTACCGCTTCTCCCTCAGGGTGGCAGGTGAGGCCTGCCTGGGCAGGGGCTCCCGACACCAGCTTGCCACAAGCCAAGGCATGGAGCTCTCCAGCTGGCCTGGTCACGGGTCTCAGCTACTCTCCCAAGCCTGGGTATACAAGGTGACCACCCCACCAGCCCTTCCTAAGAGCTGGAGGAAAGAAAGGAGGAAAGGCAGAGGGAGAGTCTGGGGTGGGGCGGGGCGTGGGGGTCCACTGTCCTTCTGCCCCAGGAACTTAGGGACAGTTAAGTCACAGCCCTTCCCCGGTCTGTGACGGTCAGTGAGCAAAGACAGTCACCACCATTACCTCACTTGAAAGAGCCTTGGAAGGATTGTCTGTGGTCCTCGTACAAGATAAATGTTGCCCTCCCCACTGGGACTCCCACACAGCCCCTGCCCACCCTGGAGGAGCTTCTGGAATACAGAAATGACCAACAGCTAACAATGGGGGTTCTGCAACTTGATCTTGTGAAAACCCCTCCACTGTCCACATCCTGTGTCATTTTACTTACAAGCCAGAGTGAATTCAAATGATTCTTGTTGGAGAGGCTTTCCACCCTCTAGAGATAACTGTAGACCCCCAGCTGAGCTCTCTCCGGGGGGCTCCAGCTGCCTGCATGGGCAGACTGCACTCCCCAGGACCCCAGAAGACTTGGGGACCTGGGGGAGGGCATGCAGAAGCCTGTGGGCATTCTGGAGTGCCCTGCCAGGTTCCCCCCCAGACTCAGCTGCCTTTCCTCTCGTGCAGCATGCCCAAAGGCGCCCGGGCCCATCCATCTGCAGGAGAACGTGCCCGGGACAGTGACGGCCGAGTGGGAACCTTCTCCAGATGAGGCTGGGGTTGTCCCCCTGTACTACGAGGTGCTGACGCGCTCCTCAGCGCACGGGCCCTGGCGCCAGGCGGCCGACCGCGTGCACACCAACCACTTCACCCTCCTGGGAGTGCTCCCTGGCCACGAGTACCACTTCCGGGTGGTGGCCAAGAACGAGCTGGGGGCCAGCCTGCCCTCAGACACCAGCCAGCCCTGGTGCATCCCCCGGCCGCGAGGTGAGCTCTTGGGGATGCGGGCTGCATCCGGGACAGCCCCAGCAGAGGTGGCCGAGTGCGGCTCAACGTGTTGCTGGCCCCACCACCAGCTGGAGGCCAGGAGCCATTACCCCGCCCACCTCCCCACCTCCCCCACCTCCCCAGCTGGCTCAACCCACTTGCACTGCTGTCCTCTGTGTCCCTGACTCAGGGTGGGTCCGGAGAGAGCCGAGGGCTGTGGGTGTCTGCATGTCCAGGATGCCTTTGGGTGGGGTCTCAAATAAGCAGCAGGCCTACGGCAAAGAGAGGTTAATGTTTCTCTGAAAACCAAGCATATTTTACAGTCAAATAGATGGTGGGCCTTCAAAGTAATCACTAGAAAAAGCAGATTATAAAATAGAATGCGTGATTCCATATTTCTAAAACACAAAAATGTCTGGAAGGTTCCACACCAAAATGTTAGCTCTGGTCATTGATAGGCAGTGAGATTATGCTTGGTTTTTATTCCTTCCCCTTTTGACTTTCTTACACGTTCTAGTTTGTCCACAGTGAGTGGGTGTTAGCTTATAATAAAGGAATAAATAAAAAATAAAATCCAAGGG